CCTGCTGAAGAGGGAGGGAAAAATTATAGGTGGGAGTAAGCACATGGATCCAAACTATGGAGGGGGATCAAATGTTAGAATAGCGACACACTGAAAAGAGTCCAGGAAAGATGAATATTTGTTTCGCCTTTTTTTTTTTTTTTCCCTACCCCCCCTGCCCAATCTTTTTAAGAGACACTACTTTTTCTAGTAGAAATGTGGCATAAATCCTTCAACAATTTTCCACAATATTTTCTTAAATGATTATTAGCCCCTCTAAGGTGTACACTGACTCTAGGTCTTAAAATTCACCTAGATCAGGGGTGCGCAAAATACGGCCCACAGGCCGGATTCAGCCCACGAGGCCATTCTATCCGGCCCATGGGGCCTCTAAAAAAAGTGTAGAAAATTAATATTTCTCTGGCCTTGGTTCCCGTCAAAAAAGACAGGAACCAACGGCAGTAGGACGCAGGGGAAGCCCGGCGGGCTCCAACAACTGCGGGACCACCCGGCCCCGTGCCCGCCCCCCACACCAGAAGCCCCAGCCAGGATTTCTGGGCTGGGAGCATGTGGCTGCCCCGGCACAGGAAATTCAGATAAGTGGGGGCAGGGGGGACCACGGGCAGGGAAGGAGTGCGGGGACAAGCAGTCCTTCCCTGCCCCACACCTGGTGCCCCATGTTGCAGCTGCCCACTGCCTGCAGCCCGCATGGGGCTGCCTGTGCCCACTCTGGACAGCCCCACGTGGGCTGCAAGCGCCTGCAGCGCAGGGTGCTGGCGCCTGGCCATGGGCCAGGCAAGGGGCCACTCTTCCCCACACACAGCACCAGCTTCTTCCCTGCTAGCGAGCAGGGGGTAGGGGCTGCGCGCTGCCGCCCGCCTGTACCATGGGGCTGGGGGGCACTGGGTGTGAGCAGGCGGGGAGCCAGCGGCAGCACAGGGCCTGCACCAGTGTCCCGGGGCCAGTGCCAGTGGGGCCCAGAGCAGGGTGGCAGGAGCTCGGGGTCCCAACTGGCAGGGGCTCTACGGAGCCAGGCCAGCTCCCGCCTCTCTGCTGGTGCAGCCCAGCCCAGTTCCACAGACCCCTGCCAGCCTGTGCCCCACTTTGGGCCCCACCAGTGCTGGCCCTGGGACACTGGTCCCGACACTGGGACGTTGGTCTCAAGTTGGTGACCAGGGGCAGGGCACCTGTCAAGGGGAGGGGCTACCCATGTGGCCCTTGACATCCTGCCAAAACTGGTTAAGCGGCCCTCCGCTCAAAATAATTGCCCTGACCTAGATGCTCAATAATCTAATCAATAAAACATTTTAGGCCATACAGATGAGTATCCTCTAGGGAAGACCATTAGAGATTTTGGGGGTCAATACTAATAGCCGATTTTTATGGAGGCACATCGGCCAATATCGATCCGATTTCTGATACAGCTGTGTCCAGGTAAGTCTGTGGTGATGGAAAGGGAGGGGGAAGAGAAGTGGTATGCAGGGGGCAAATCAATGCCCCCCACATTCAGAGAGAGAGTGGGGCAGGGGCAGACCCTGCCCAGTTGGACAGGGTGCAGGACAGAGCTGTGGCTTATCTGGGGTTCATGTGGGGGGTGGGGGGCAGCTCCTACCGCTGCTCACACACCAGGAGGGCATGGGGGGGGAGGTACCTGTATGTATCTGGATCTGCGTGGAGCAGGGAAGGCAGACTGCAACTGTGGGCTGGGGATGAGCTGGGCCCTTCTCAGCGGGGGTTGGGCTTGGGGCAGGCAGCGGTGGTGCTGGGATGGGACTACGGGGGGCTGCAGCCACCCTAAATTTCACCATAGCCCCCAGCCCCCGATTTGGCCCTCCTCCCAGCACTGCCACCACCCTCCCGGTACAGGCCTGGCTCTTCCCAGCACGTGAGTGGAGGTAGAGGTTGAGCCAGGGCTGCCCCAGCCAAGAACAGCCCAGTGCAGCCCCGTCTCCAGGCCACAACTGCAGCC